AGTCCCTTCCCTCTTTCCTCATCTACGTGTCCGTTAACCCCCCAGGAACACTTGGCACTGAATGGATGGTCTTGGTGCACTTCTGCTTCTAAGGAGGGCCACTGTTTTATCTGAGGTCAGTAAACTGGAATGAAGTGAAAGTCAGAGTTGTTTAGCCATTGCTTGATAGCGAGACGCATGCACCATGTCACAACATCAAACCAAAGCTACAAAGTGGGGCCTCTGCAACCAAGGGGTATTCTTCACAGAACGGCAGCGTCATTTTCATATTATGATTAAAATGCGTGGATATTCACTGGATATAAATATCACCTCCCAGGGTGGAGTGTAGGAAAATACTATACACTTCCTTTTCTTCACAAGAAATGTGTTTGCACCGTCAGTTGAATAATTTATCCTCAATTTGCCACAATAGGTCCTTTCTATGTACAAATACTATGTGCACACACTATTTGTGCACAAATATATTCTATTCTACAGCATCAGTCCTTGATGCTTGGGTCAGGAGATGGCTCGGGCGGTACTGGAAACATACAGCTTGAACACAGATTGCCTCTATGCACACAGACTTCCTGCACGAAAACCAACTCCACATAGGGCACGGCACTGTGGACTGACTCGCCAAAAACTGCACCTACAACAAGATCCTCAATTTTGGGAAGAGATACTAACTCATGATAGAGTGAACAGCTTTATTCCTTAAAAAAAAAAAAAAAAAATTCTGTCCCTCAGTCTATTTACAGTAATTTGAGGACAAAACTTGATTCTTGCTCCCTTCCAGGTCTGCGACTCCTTCAAGACTGTAAGCGGTAGGGGAGCATATTGAAGTCATTTATTAAGCAGCTGCTAGTTTAAATGGGGTGTAATGTAGAGGTCCAGCTAAGTGGGGTCTGAAAGCGCTTCACAGGCCTTACTCGCTCTGAGAGGGTTCTGCTACCACAGGGTGTGGAGCGGCCCATAGGGACGGGACTTTGCAGTTTCTTAAAAGGTGTATACTTTATACACCTTTGTTTCTTCTTTAATGGCAATCATAAAATATTAAAAGAGAAAGTGTAGGTATAGATCTTTTTTTTTCTTAGAAGATTTTTTTAAGTAATCTCTACACCCAACACGGGGCTTAAACTTACAACCCCGAGATCAAGAGTCGCATGCTTTACTGACTGAGCCAGCCAGGCGCTCCTAGACCTCTTGATAATAGCTTTGAACTTCACATTGTGCCCACTCGATGTCTGGCGGTTCTGTCATGCAAGTCCTAGAGCTGGTCCCTGGCCTCCTTTTTAAGGAGAAGTGGCAGCTGGCATTCTAATCACTAACCTTTTTTTTTTTACTTCCTCAGGAAAGCAATACAAGGATTAAATCCAAAGTCATAGTGCATCTTAAAAGCAGCATACTTTTAGAAAGACAGTTAATAAATTACTTGTACAATATACAAAATAATGTTTTATACTGCAGCATCACCTCTGACGCCTGAGTCATTGGTAGGGAACCCGGAATAGAAATAGCAGGATGGCCTAGTAAGTTTGACAGCTCTTTTGTTTTGTTTTCGCAACTGTTTTGTTCCAGAATCAGTATGTAATGAAGTTTGATTTTATTCAAGGCACCCCCAGATAACGCAGAGAAACAAATACATACAGCAAAGCACTCACCTGCCCAAAGCCTGACCAACCTGAATGAAGTGAGGTTGTCTGGACATACAAGTAGAACAAAGGTGGATCCAAGGGGAGGACTAGATCCAGGCGGATGTTAACCAGCCACAGGGCCACCTCCACTGTTCCTGCCCCAACGGCTCACGCCTACGTTTTTGGAGACCCAACTCGGCTGTGGCAGGGATCCTCCTAAGCAGGCCATGGCAGCAGGGTCCTTTATTTTTGTAAGGAAGGACCCTTAAAAGCACAATTAAATGCCACCATGCTGTGCAAACACTGTTCTTTGCTATTAACTTGCTTTTCTTTTTCATAAAAGACATGGGCCTCACTAAGGGATCCCAGGGAAAGGAGACAGGCTGGTTCTTAAAACTCCACTTGAGGCAATTTGGATTCTGGTCCCCAACTAGTCCTCCCTTTGAATCAACCCAGAAACAATTTGGATGAACACATGGTTCAGGGTAGTAAAAGACAAGACAAGTCACATAGACAATTGCACAAAGCCAGTCACTGTTTATGGTACATAGTGAACAAAATCATAACAACCTGTTAAAAATCTCTAAGAAATGGAAAGACAGTTTTCCAAGCAGTGTTTTTAACCAGTCCCATTGTAGGGGTTTGATTGGGGAAGGGGGAGAAAAGCGAGGCGGGGGTGGGTGGAAGGAGGATGTGGGCTGAATTAGGGTGGAGGGAAATAAGGAGACCCCTCCCCACCTGGAAATGGCCGTGGCACAGGTGTGTGTGTGCGGACCAAACAACAGACAGCAGGGAGACTGATGGAATGTGGTCAAGACTACCAGTTGCACATGAGTTGTCGCCAGGGTAAGTCATGCCAGCGAGCTTGTTTGGACCTGGTTATGATACTAGCAGAAAACATTCTTTTTTCAAAAGAAGAGGAGGTCACTTAAAAAAGGCAACATGAGAGTTAAACAATACTGTTGGCTGACTCCTCCACCATTAACACCTGTGGATGTATATCACCTGTGATGTATCACATGATTCACATTGAATTTAAATTCCAGCTGTCACCAGTTTTCCACAAAGGCAAACCCCACGGTGAAGCACAGAACCGTTCCACTAGGCCAAGAAATTCCAACAACCGTAATAAAAATGGCAGCTCCAACGCTGAGCTTTACCAAAATCTGACTCAGACTAGCACACACACATACACACGCACACGAGAAAAAACAAAAACCCAGAGGCAGGTTTTAAAAGCGGAACTATTTTAAAAGAAAAGCCTTTTTTTTTTATCCTACCGCATGAACCAACAAATTTCTGGCATTCATACATATTTAAACATTTAGCGCTAATATTTGTACAGAAAAGAGTTAATAATACTAAAACATATGTTACTATGATTTCACTTTTCGCCTACGTCATATACTAATTTCCCCTTTTACATGCAGCTTTAATATTGTCCAAACAATGGCACAAATAAAGAAACAAAGTCAACCATCTAGTCCCCACTGCCCACCACCCCATCCCCACATCAAACCTTTCAGGACTCTACCTGCAGCCAGGCTGGAGGGCCGACCGGAGGGAGGGAGCGGATTCCTCCTCCTCTTAGGCTGGCGGCAGGGTCTTGGGCACATCTTCCTGTAAACGTGGCCAGGGGCCAGCACGCCCCCAGAGCCAAGGGAAGCTGCTCTCTGTGGGTTGCAAGCCAACCAGTTTTGCAGCAAGAGAAGAAAATTATCATCAGGTGAGGGTAGGTGTGTGTGTGGTGGGGGAAGGGGATAGGGAGGGCTCCTTGGCCATACTGTATCCAAAGCCTCAGAATGAAATCTGCCTTTGGACAAGAGACGAGCAGAAAAACCTCAGAATTCAACTCAAAGCATTTGGAGAAGGGAGGGAGAAAGAAATGCTTTTGCCTGTATTAGGGACAGACCCCAGGCTTACATGTGCCCTGCTCTCTCCTACTCTGGGTGAACTGCATTAACCCAGGACGCCTGGCGCTGTGATTCAAACCCACTCAGGTGAGATGTCCTGGGAGCTGGGGCCTGGGCAAGGGAGTGGGGTGGCTGATCAGACAAATCCTTCCAAGAAATTCCTCCTGCACTGCACTTTCACGGGCAGGCAGGGGCCTGAGGATGGGTTGAAATGAATGGGACTTGCCCCCTGGGTGAGAAAATAGTTCTAACTTGATTTTTAGGAGCCAATGCCTGCTGAGTTCTGGTACAAAATCATGGGTTCCTGCTGTTTGGATGCACTTTTGAGTGGACGTCCAAACTCTCCCCACTTAGGAGTCTGAACATCCAGCATCAACTCTGAACTCTCTGCATTTAAACTTTGCTTCTGGGAAAGGTGGGGAGGAGGTGAAATATAAAAATATTCAAGCAGATTATTGTCTACACATCCTAGGATGAATTCATTATTTGGCAAGATTATTTTTCCTACATAATTATCACCTGAGTGCTTTTTAATTAGCTAAAATGTCTTACTTTTAAACTAAAAGCAAAGAATATACAGTATACTCGAGTTATACTGAAGTTAACAACTTCATTTAAGAAAATAGGTTTGACCCAAAACTCAGTGCAAGTGGCAAAGTTGACCATGACTGTACAGTATCTGCAAGAAAAACAAAAACAAAAAAACAACCCACAACACTCAGATGACACCATCTGACGGTGCCCAAAGCAAACCAAACAAACAAAAAAAGGGTCTGAAATAAAGCCTCAAAAGAAGTTTCCAACATTGAATTCTGTTCCATAAATAAGTACAAATTGAAATTGAACTGTGAAGCAAGAAAAATGACCATGTTAACAGTTACCAAACTAGTTCTAGCATCGGAGACAAAAGAAGAGGAATGTTGGAACCTGTTTATAAATGAGAAATGAAGTTTTCCAGTTTTAGGATGAGAAAATTGAGGCATGCAGGACTTTTGCATATGGATATATATATATCTTATATATATATTATATATATAATATGTACAGTCTAGCTATAAAACTTTGATGTGTATAGAAGCTGTCTTCAATGAAAAAAATTGAACATTCAGAAGAAATTCCTGAGATAGGGTTTGTGACATGGGCCACTGAGAAAAAAAATCCGTGGTTGGGTCCTAGAGGTGTTCTAGTCTATCCCTGTTGAGACTGAAATTAACCCACAGACAGGCAGCGTCAGCACCGCCCGTCTTTCCTCGCCTGAGCAAGGGGTAGCACCATTGTGAAGGGAACTGTATATCACTCCCGCTTGAAGAGAGGAGGGAATACTCAGAAACAGTATTGCTGCTAAGAACGCTGTAGTGTGCACCAAATTCCTTCTCGGTTCTTCCAGACAACAGATGAGCAGCACCACAGGCTGACCGGAGAACACCTGGGTGGGAGAGGCGTGAGAACTGGGAGGCAGGCCGCGTCACTAGGTGTAATCTTTCCTGGGCTGTTCGTCGGTCGTACACTTATCGGTCATTTCCTGGCAGAAATCCACGGTCACCGTCTGGCTCCTGGATTCAAGAGGAGGCCCTCTCTCCGAGAAGGTTCCGGGGTCAGCGCCTTCCGGCCTCCTCCCGGAAGTACAGTTTTCCGAGGTGTTGCCGGGCACCCAGGGGGGCCCGGGGGGAGCCGCTCCCGGCTCCAGGCAGCAGGGGGCGCTTTCCCCCACCGCGCCCTGGGAGGCGGCCAGGTTCTGCTCCACGCTCAAGGGCGCAGGGTTAATACTGGAGGCTGCGGGGAGGCCCACGGGTCTGAGGACGGGGCAGTACCGGTGCAGGGCCTGGATCTGCTCGGGGCTCTGGATGTCGCGGCACACTTCCTGGGAAAGGCAGGAGAAGTTGTCCAGCAGCTCCCCCATGCAGGCTTTCAGCTGGTTCCTCTCTGACAACAGCTTCTCTTTCTCACACACCTGGACAGCAGAGAGAAGAGAGGGGGCCTGATCAAGCCTGAACGGGAGGACAGAAGCCCGGTTTCTGGGGGTTTTCCAACTTTTATTTTTGCATTTGGCATTGCAGTGTAACTCGTGAATGGCTAGGCCAGGACCTAGGCACCTACAAAATGTATATTTAAGGAGCCCGGGCTCAAGTATCCTATCGGAGCAGCCTATCCAGATGTCCAGATGTGCTGGAAAGCCTCACACCTTCCCTGTGGCAGCTCTTCATCCCTCTCTGGGGTCTGTCCAAGTGGCCAGCAAAATCACCACCAACCAGAAAACTACAGGGAGTCAAAGTTCTGGTTTCCTGGATTTGGGGGTTTTTAGAGAATTATTTGGAAAACCCTCAGCCCCAAACTTTGGAGTTAAAAAAAATCTCCCCCAAATGTGTTAGGTTTGCCATTTCTGAAGGTCAGAAATGGGCCAATTCCAACTTTATGACGTTTTGGAAGAAGGCAAAGCTATGGAGATGGTAAAAAGGCCAGTGGTTGCCAGGGGCTGGGGGAGGGAGAAGGATGAACAGGTGAAGCACAGAGGATTTTTAGGGCAGTGAATTTACTCAATGATATAGTCATGGTGGATACATTTGTCCCAATCTATAGAATATACAACACCAGGGGCGCCTGGGTGGCGCAGTCGGTTAAGCGTCCGACTTCAGCCAGGTCACGATCTCGCGGTCCGTGAGTTCGAGCCCCGCGTCAGGCTCTGGGCTGATGGCTCGGAGCCTGGAGCCTGTTTCGGATTCTGTGTCTCCCTCTCTCTCTGCCCCTCCCCCATTCATGCTCTGTCTCTCTGTGTCCCAAAAATAAATAAAAACGTTGGAAAAAAATTAAAAAAAAAAAAAAAAAGAATATACAACACCAAGAATGAGTCCTGATGTAAATTATGGACTTGGGTGATTATGATGTGTCAAAATAGGTTCCTCAATTGTAACAAATGCACTACTCTGGTGGGAGATGTTGATAAGGGGGGCTGGTGGTGATGAGTGTATAGGGGCAGGGGGCAGGAGCATTCAATTGTGCTGTGAACCAAAAACTTCTCTAAAAAGGAAAGTCTCATAAAAAAAAAAAACTGATGAAAAATCAACGAAAATCAACAACGAAAATCAACCATTGGCAATTTCATACGGTTCCATCAAACAACAGGCCTTCTGGCCTTTGCAGCATACAGACTGAACACAACAGATCCTCTTTAGTACAGGTGGGGACTGTGACATGGGAAGGGCAGACAGAGGCGTGGTGACTGAGCCCTAGCAGACTAGCCCATGGTTCTGAGATGCTGTCCTCAAAGAAAATCCCACACAAGCTCTTGTGTTACTAAAATTCATCATCCCATCAGAGAGATGAATTTCGCCACCAGAGGGGAGACTGGTTAAAGTTTCACCCGAACTATCTGCGTGAGGAGAGAAGATGCAAAGGTTCCAGGAGGCGCACACAGTGAAAGAGATGAGGAAACTGGACATCACCACCAGATGGGAGAGAAAATGGAAGGCGGGGGAGGGGGGGGGAGTGAGAGAGAGAGAAAGCAGGGGAGAGAAGCAAACATACAACACGGGGCTCTGACATGGGAGCTGTACGTGCTGTAGCATGAATGCAATCTGGCAGGCAGCGTGGGCATGTGTATAGGAGACAGAGATTTACACGGGGAAAGGGCACCTGCTAAAATATTTATAAATTTATCAAGAAAACATGTTTTAAAAATGAAAAATAAACAGATGTACCAGTGCAAGTTGAGAGAAATACATTATGCAAGTTTGCAAAAGCTGAGTGGCGTGCCGGAGGCAGCATGGCGGTGGGGAGTGGGTGTATGTGTGCGGGAGACTGGCAGGGCAGACTGGCCTGCCCCTGCCTGCCAGTGCCGTACCTGCCGCCCAGACTAGGTGAGCAGGCACGACCCCGCAGTTAGAGGGTGCCGGATAGGAAACAGAACATCCAGGAGGTCTCTTCGTGGAAAATATCTTACATTTGTGGCTGTGCAACCCAGACAGCCAGGAAGACCTGGAGGTCTGCAAAGTGGGAGGCAACACCACCCAGCCCCAGGAGGAATGTCTCAGTCTCGATCCTGCCACATCGTATTGGCCAAGCCACCAACCCCCTACTAATCTGCAAAATGTTCTGGACCACTTTTAAGGGGAAGAAAATGAAATGCTGCTGTGACCGTGTTTTGGCTCTTCGCAGGAAAGGCAGTATAAATCAAGGCCCTGGTTACAAGCGTGAAGCTCTAAGTCACAGATATACAGTGATGAGCACAGGAAACTCTCATGCAGCAGCAAAATGTAGCATATTATTTAAGAAGTTGCCAAAAAAGTGGGAGGAGAAGTAGGAGGTGCCCTCTCCATTTTTCAACTGGACAGGATTAAGCAAAGTGCTTTAGGTATCTGCCTGGTGTGTGGCTTAGACTTTATTGTTTGCTCGGTATTACACAAGTACATGGAAGGACAGAACTCTAATTACAAAAATCAGGTGTTTCTCAAACATGGGTGATGAGACTCATTCTACACAGGGCTGAATGATCATGGACATATGCCCAATGTCCTGATAAGTTGTACTGAGCAGGCTCAGCCTTGCCTGGGTCCCTCCCTAAGCCCAGTAGGCTTTCAGAAGACCCATATTCACCACCAACAATGTCTTGCCCCCTTATGTGGCTTAAATACAATTTTTTGTTGTTGTTAAAGCAACATTCAAGAAAAGTTTGAAAGAAAGAAGGAATTCATAATTCCACAATCTGGTCACAATTTCAAAGAAATTTCAGGGCAATAGACATTTCCTGAAGGCTTCACCAGGCCTGCACTGGAGACTGAGAGGTGATCCAGTCACTGTCCTTGTTGTGAGGAACCTACCACCTAGGGTGGGGGGCTGGGGAGACAGACACACACAGACGACGCAAGACTGTGGTGATAAGCATGAAGCCAGAGGTCAGATCAGGGCTCCAGGGTGAGTGCCCAGCCTCAGCTTGGACTCAGGGAAGGGGTTTCCTAGACACGTGGCAGTAATGTGAGTCTCAAAGGATGAAGGATGAAATTACAGAAGAAAATGGTCGAGAAACGTCCAAGGTAGAGGGGAGACAGCAGAGGCACAAACACGGAAGTACGAACATAGATGGCAGGAAGTGTGAAGAGCTTGATTTTATTAGGGGTCAAGTTCAAGGATAGGAGTGGAAGGTGATGCTGGAGATAGCTACAGACTGAACCTTGGAAAGCACCAATGTCTTGCTAAGAAGCTTGAGCTTTATTTTGTAGGTGACTTAACCACTGCACATGAGTAAATTTCCCCTGCTTGGTGGGAGTTAATTTATTTATTTTATTTTATTTTATTATTTATTTTAAAGTTTATTTATTTATTTGAGGGGCACCTGGCTGGCTCAGTCGGTTAAGTGTCTGACTTCGGCTCAGGTCATGATCTCATGGTTTGCAAATTCGAGCCCCACGTCAGGCTCTGGGCTGACAGCTCAGAACCTGGAGCCTGCTTCGGATTCTGTGTCTCCCTCTATCCCCGCCCTTCCCCCACTCATGCTCTGTCTCTCTCTCAAAAATAAATAAAACATTAAAAAAATTTTATTTGAGAGAAAGAGAATGTGCACAAAAGTGGGGGAGGGGCAGAGAGACAGAGAGAGAATCCCACGTAGGTTCCACATGGTCAGCGTGGAGCCTGACGAGGGGCTTGAATTCATGAACTGTGAGATAATGACCTCAGCCAAAACCAAGAGTCGGATGCTTAACTGACTAAGCCACCCAGGCACCCTGGGCGTTAATTTAAAAAAGAGAGAAAAAATACCCTATAGTCCTTGATAACAGGACAATATTTATTTATGCTTTTCAAATGTCTTATCTTGTTCTGAGGTTCTCATTGGGACAGTGGCTTACCATGAGACAGAGGATTACTGTGTATATAGTCTGAGGATCCACACTTAGATCATAACCACATCATGTGGTCTCTCTCTTCCTTAGCTTGACACAGGCACAGTACCTAAGATGTTTCCAGTATTTGGCCAGCTGAAAGGTCCAGCTAAATGAGGTTGCACTGGTTGCCTTCAAAGCTACAGTAAGGAGCCAGAGGCCACCTGGAGTTACCTCCTGAAGCTTAAGCTTGCTTACAAAGGAGAAGGGGGCACAGAGCTCCCAGTGAGGGGAGCCTGGGAGATGGGAGCTTGTTTCCTGAGATAAAATAGTCTCAGGCACAGGGAAGAGGTGCCAGCCACTTGGAGGCAGAATCACAAAATCAAGGACCCTGGGACTGCGAGGGGCTTCAGGAGATCATGTGGTCCTGTCTGGATTCTACACTCTTCTGTGTGAGGCAGGAGAAAGCAGTGGTGTCTAGATTTGGAATCAGACAACAGGGTTTGCGTTCAAGTTCTGCCACATAGTGGAGAGTGAGCACACTTCTCTGCGCCCCTCTCCTCCTCTGTAACTGGAGATAAAATAGCACCTAAGTCATTGGGTTGATGTGAAGATTAAATGTGATCATTTGCAAAAATAGTTGAGAATAATACCTGGCCCACACATGCATGCAATAAATGTTAGTGACCAGTCCATGCTGAATGGAAAAAAAGAAAGGACTACCTCTATGTGTATGGCTGAAGGACATAAAATACTGAAACACGATTATAGCTCTGCACAGACACACACAACTGCAGATAGAAAGCTATTCTTTTTTGTTGAGAAACTTGCTTAAAAATAAACCCAAACTTCCCCAAATTGTGATCCTTCTCTCCACTTCTCCAGCCTTCACTTCTGCAATTCTGCATCAGTCCTGGTCACTCCGGGTTGCTGATAGCAGTGAACGGGTCAACTCACCAATTTGCGGATTTCACATTCTAAGTTCTGAATACAGTCCAGTTTCCTCTTGCGGCAGCGCTGGGCCGCGATGCGGTTCTTGCTGCGCCGTCGGACGTCGTGAATGAACTCTAACTGTTCTGAGGTTAGCTTGTGCATCTTAATCATCATCTGGAAATCATTCCTTGGAAGATCTGTGATTTGATCTACAGGAAAGGGAAGTTTGACCTGAAACCGAGAACAGCAGAATATGATTATGGTAACTGTATTTTAGTTTGAATTCCAGCTGGCGGAACATCAAAAAAATGGTCAAACCTCCTTTTTAAGAGGACCAAATAGTATGGAAACTACTCAAAGTAAGCAGTGATTAATTCTTTCTTGTTTCAAATATAAGTAAGATGTAATATTTAGAGTCAAACAGCACGTGAACACACAAATTATAATGTGGTTACTGTTCCTGAGGTTCTTGAAACAAACAGCATGGAAGATACTGGAAAATGTGTACTTTTTCACTGCTACAGCAATTTTACGAAAGACTCTACAGTCAGTTGAAACCTACTTCCATTGAGCCTCAGCTCAATAAAATAACAATCTACAGACAGATATCATTGAAGGAATTATCTAAAACATTTGAACGAGGACAGCATCACACACGTCAAAGATGCTGGGAAGATGAAACAACCAGTGTGGTTTTTCGGTTATAACAGCATAAGGAGGTACAGCGAGGGAACTCAGATGGGCTCCACCCTGGTGGACTAGAATTCAAACCTGGGCTTTAGTCTTTCTACCAGCCATGAGACCTCAGGCTAGTTACCTTACTTCTCTGAGTCTCAATTTCCTCATTTTAAAGTGGGGCATGCTTTTGAGCTGCCCAAGGCTATACCAATTAGGGCCCTTTGGCCATTTTCCAAAAATTTAATGGTCATTCCATCTCACATTCTCTTTCACAGCATGTTGACCTTCCTCTATCAAGAGGCGGGATGCGTGTTCCTGCCTCTTGATCACCACAATGCAGCCAGAGTAACAGTGTGTGGCTTGAGGCTAGGTCATAAAAGGAGCTGCGGCTTCCTCCTAGGCTTCTTAGACTGCTTTCTCCAGAGGAAACCAGCTGCCATGCCTAAAAGACTCTCAAGCCACCCTGTGGAGGGCCCAGGCCCATGTGGAGAAGAATGGAGGTCTCCAGCCAACAACCAGCATTGCCTTGTCGGTCACGTGGGTGAACCACCCAGGATGTGATTTCTCTAGGCCCACAGGAACCTTCAGATATGGAAGCCCCAGCCACAGACTTCAGCCTCATGAGGTATCCCAAATTAGAAGTGCTCAGATGGGCCACTCCTGAGTTCCTGACCCACGAAAACGGTGAGAGAAGCTAAATGATTTAAGCCAAGGAGTCTGGGGGTGGTTTGTTACGCAGATAACTGATGCAGATACTGTCGGTAGCAAGATTCCAACTTCTAAACTCTTGACAAACAAAGGCAAATAAGCATTATACAAGGAGAGGACATGAGTCTCTGGAGGAATGGATCTGTGTCCTCCTTATATTCTGTTAAGTGCACAGGCTTGAATCTTCCAACAGCTTACCACTACCCTCTCCGAGATTCTTACTGATGGTGCAGGGATGTTAGGGTTCATTTCTGGTCCTGTTTCAGAAAAGGAAGGTTGCATGTTGCTTGACCAAGAGACCAAGTATCTCCTCCAGCTCAGATTCACTTAATTCTTGTTCACGTTAGCGTCTGCTTTAGGTGGACCAGCAGATGGCGCTATAAACCTAAACTTTCTACAAAGGGCCAGCCCTGCGCTGTCCAGTGCAAACAAGAGATGTGATTTTTCCATTTCCAGTAGCCACATTAAAGGAAGTAAAAAGAAACATCAGAAATTAATTTTAATAGTATATTGAATTAAGCCCAATAGGCCCAAAATATATTCAACATGTAATTAATATAAACATAATTGAGATATTTCACTTTTTTGGCACTAAATTTTCAAAACTGGAGGCATATTTTGCACTTAACACAATTCAGAACTCGGCACATCTCTAGGGCTCGATAGCCACGTGTGGCGTGTGGCTACTGTGCTGGACGGCACAGCTCTAGAAGGTGGAACAGTCTCGAGTGAACTTGAGTCACCAGAAAAACAGGAGGGTCAGGGTTTAATTGATCAAAGTAGTTTAGGTTGAAGAAACCAACCCCTCGTTAATATTCAGGAGCTGCAGTGTTATATCTGTGTTGTTCAGGGAAGTGAGACGGAGATCCTTGATTCTGAGCTCAGGCCTTTTCTTTGATTGCATCAGATGCCGGAAGATGAGTCTAGATGCTGGCATTTATGGCTAGTTAATCCCCATGCACAAAGGCGGTCACACTACATGACTTTTCTGTGGTTGGATACAACTGCTTTGTCAGGCTGCTTCAGAACCCTGAGCCTGCCGGACGTGGCATTTGCTGAGGGCTCCCGATGGGGTCCTGATTCAACTTTCGCGTGGTGAACTCTGTGTCCCATGACACCTGTAAAATTTGGGCCCAAGAAAGCAAAATCGCAACAGCTCACATTACACCACTTTCAGCCCAGCCCTGCTCTGACTGCGGAAAGGCAGGCAGCCAGGGAAAGGGCTTTGTCCATGGGTTGTGTTTGCACAGGGCTTATCATGATACGAAGAATGTTTGATTTCCTTTTATATCCTTTGGATAACAAACAGACACTCCAATCCTGGACAGTGCCTGACTCACACCGGGGTCTGCCTGGTGGGGACACGGATGTTTCCACACCAGGCAGAAGCCTTGTTTGCACAGCAGAGGCTGCCGTGCTTCGGGGCCTCGTGGAGTCCCCCCTCTGCTGACACCAAAGCCGGTCTGCTTCTGCTCTAAATCCTGTTTACTTACTTATTTCCAGAAAGAATACGTACCTACAGCTCAGGCCACAGGGAACGTCAAAGGCCTTCTAGACTAAGAGCTACTGTATTTAAAATCATCCAGACAACAAATGTAAAACACCAGGGAAACGGGACAGAGGTTGACAGGAAAAGGGAAAATCAACAATGCTCGTTTCAAAGTCCTTGAAGCAAAAGGTCCTATAGTTTCAGCGGAGCTGTTGCAACTCCGGCTGCTTTTTAAAGAGGTCAAAGGAAAAGAAAATAGCGATAGACCTTCTTCCATGTGGAAAAACAAAAAACAAACAAAAAGCCAAAACCCAAACCCGACCACTCTTGTTTCTTTTTTTTTTTTTAATTTTTTTTTCAACGTTTATTTATTTTTGGGACAGAGAGAGACACAGCATGAATGGGGGAGGGGCAGAGAGAGAGGGAGACACAGAATCGGAAACAGGCTCCAGGCTCTGAGCCATCAGCCCAGAGCCCAACGCGGGGCTCGAACCCACGGACCGCGAGATCGTGACCTGGCTGAAGTCGGACGCTTAACCGACTGCGCCACCCAGGCGCCCCTCTTGTTTCTTTTTAAAAGGCTCTGTTACCCCTCAAGCAAGGGAGATCTTGTGCTGTCTCCCAAGAGGGAGGTCCCCAAGCATTTTGGGAAAGCGCAGTGGTAACTTTGCCACTGATATTTGTTACTTTCGGAGTAGGAAGTAAGTTCCAAGCCAACGGGCATCTTCCCTGGGGATAAAGAGCAGCCACATCCCCTTATGGAGTTGGGAGAATATATTCCACTCTCAAGCGTGCACGCACCAAACACTCCCTGAGTAGGGCTCAAAAGTCAGCTAGTACCACATGGGCTTCGAAGGTTCAGACACTTCGAGAGGGAGGAGGCCCTTCTCCCTTTCTTCTGGCAAATTCTTATGACCCAAATAGGCCCGATAGGGCTTAACATCTTATTTACTGTCCCTCCACACACTTATTCTTCCAGGATTTTATTTTACTTCTCGGCAACAGTTTCATTGTCATTCACTGGACCCTCTGAAACAGTGCATAACACCCACCCTAACAAGAGGAAATGTCCTGCCAGCTCCCACCGCCACTTGTCTGAATGCTCGCTGGCCTGCACTTATTTTCAGCCTATTGCACACACAGGAGGCTAAACATATCAGACATCTGAGGCTAAGCGGGCTGCACAGAAGGGGAGGGGCCCATGGGACTCTGGGTACTGATTTCTCATAGGTGCTGCCCATCT